TAAGCACCTACCATTGATATATCTGCATACTAAATTTCAAGTTCGTGGGACTTATAGTTCCGAAGTTAAAGCTGATAAAAAATGCCATGCCTATTGTATGTGCCAAATTGTATGTGTAAAAATTTCTACGCCTATGGGATGTGCCACGCCCCCTTTTACAAACCCCTTTATATATACTTTACTGTAAGCACCTACCATAGTTATGTCTGCATAACAAATTTCAAGTTCATATGACTTATAGTTTCGGATTTATAGCTGATAAAATACTCCGCGCCTATTGGATGTGCCACGCCCACTTCTACAAACCCATTTATTTATACGATACTATAAGCACCTACCATATATATGACTGTATACCAAATTTCAAGTTCATGTGACTTATGGTCCCGAAGTTCTGATTGATAACAAATTTCACGCCTATGGGATGTGCCACGCCCACTTTAACAAAGTCACTTATATATACTCTACTGTAAGCACCTACCATATATATGACTGCATACCAAATTTCAAGTTCATGTGACTTATAGTTTCGAAGTTATAACTGATAAAAAATTCCATGCCTATTGGATGTGCCATGCACTCTTTTCCAAACTCATTTATATATACCCTAATATAAGTACCTACCATTAAAATGGCTGCATACGAAATTTCAAGTTCAAGCGACTTATAGCTCCGGAGTTATAGCTAATAAAACATTCCAGGTCCATGGGACGTACAACTCCCACTTTTACAAACTCACTTATATATAGCCTACTATAAGCACCTACTATAGATACGTCTGCGTACCAAATTGCAATTTCACGTGACATATGATTACGAATTTTCCACGCCTATGGGATGTTCTACCCAGTTATATATGCCTTACTTAAAGCGCCTACCGTAGATATGCCTGCACACTAAATTTCAAGTTCTTGGGACTTATGGNCTACAAACTCATTTATTTATACCATACTATAAGCACCTACCATATATGTGACTGTATACCAAATTTCAAGTTCATGTGACTTATAGTTTCGACGTTATGGCTGATAAAAAATTTCACGCCTATGGGAGGTGCCACGCCCCCTTGTCGAATCCCAATTTTTTTACCCTATTATAGGCCCAGGTATCATGGCAATACTCTGTCCAAATTTCGTTCGATTCTGTCCGTCCGGTTAGGCTGCAACCTGGCACATACATACATACTTCCACAAATATATAGTAGATATCTATCCTTCTCTTAGCGTAAAATAATTTTTGAGAATACCCCGACCCCAGCGCCTCCTATCGTGTAATTTTCTTGTCCAAATATTCCTTTTCAATTGGCTAACTTATGTTCAAAATATGAGCCAAATCGGCAAGTAAATGCAATTTTTAGGAATATCCTGACCCCAGCGCCACCTAGCGACCAAAGNCCTATGGGATGTGCCATGCCCCCTTTTACAAACCCCTTTATATATACTTTACTGTAAGCACCTACCATAGTTATGTCTGCATACCAAATTTCAAGTTCATGTGGCTTATAGTTCCGGAGTTATAGCTGATAAAATATTCCTATGGGATGGTCCACGACCACTTTTACAACCTCATTCATATATACCGTACTATAAGCACCTACCATAGTTATGTCTGCATACCAAATTTCAAGTTCATGTGGCTTATAGTTCCGGAGTTATAGCTGATAAAATATTCCTATGGGATGGTCCACGACCACTTTTACAACCTCATTCATATATACCGTACTATAAGCACCTACCATATGTATGACTGAATAACCAATTTCATGTTCATATGACTTATTGTTTCGGATTTTTAGCTGATAAAATATTTCACGTCTATTGGATGTGCCACGCCCACTTCTACAAACTCATTTATTTATACCATACTATAAGCACCTACCATATATGTGACTGTATACCAAATTTCAAGTTCATGTGACTTATAGTTTCGACGTTATGGCTGATAAAAAATTTCACGCCTATGGGAGGTGCCACGCCCCCTTGTCGAATCCCAATTTTTTTACCCTATTATAGGCCCAGGTATCATGGCAATACTCTGTCCAAATTTCGTTCGATTCTGTCCGTCCGGTTAGGCTGCAACCTGGCACATACATACATACTTCCACAAATATATAGTAGATATCTATCCTTCTCTTAGCGTAAAATAATTTTTGAGAATACCCCGACCCCAGCGCCTCCTATCGTGTAATTTTCTTGTCCAAATATTCCTTTTCAATTGGCTAACTTATGTTCAAAATATGAGCCAAATCGGCAAGTAAATGCAATTTTTAGGAATATCCTGACCCCAGCGCCACCTAGCGACCAAAGTTTTGGTAGAAATATTTATTTTCATGGTACTGATATATGTTCCAAATATGAACCAAATTGGTCCAGCCGTTTAGTAGCTTAGTGACATTTAATGTACAGAAAACTTTTTGAAATTGTGAAATCGTAACGTCTCAGCATTCTTCATTTTTCGCCAACAACAACAAAAAAGTTCAAATTTTTTTAGGTCGTAAAACCTTCCACACAGAAGGTCCAAAAAAACACTTTTTACAGAATTGAAATCGGTTCAGCCGTTTGGTCAGGCATCGCGGTCATACGAAAAACATTTCATTTTGATACCTTTCATGAGCATGAAATGGTATTATAACTTTGGTCCGATGTTTGTAAGTACCAGAATAGAAGAGATAGACCAATTAAAATGTATACTTAAATGATCGGAACGCCGAGCTGAGTTGATTTATCCATGTCCGTCTGTCCGTCTGTCCGTCTGTCTGTCTGTCTGTCTGTCTGTCCGTCTGTTTGTATGCAATCTAGTCTCTCAGTTTTCGAGATATCCGGATGAAATTTGGTAGGTGGGTGTATTTTTATAGTGTATTAATCATTTGTCGGAACAGGAAGAATCGAAACACTATAACATATAGCTCCCATACAACTGATTGTTCAGATATGAGATTTTTCGTTATAACTTCTCCATTTACGCAGCTAGGAACATGAAATTTTGCAATACTTTCACCCATTATCAACAGAATACTTACAGCGAAAATTACAAAGATCGGGTCACTATAACCTATAGCTCTCATACAACTGATTGTTCAGATATAAGATTTTTCGTTATAACTCCTCCATTTAAGTAGCTAGGCACATGAAATTTGCACTGTTGTCACTCATTATCAAAAAAATACTTCCAGTGAAAATGGCGAAGATCGGGTCGCTATAACCTATATCCACCATAGACCTATGATTGTTCAGATATGAAATTTTGTTCCATAACTTCTTCATTTATGCAGCTAGGAACATCAAAATTAGCACCGTTTTCACTCATTATTAGCAGAATACTTACAGTGAAAATAACAAAGATCGGGTCACTATAACATATATCACCCATACAACTCTTCAGTTATGAGAATTTTCGTTATAATAATAATAATAATAATAATAATAAATTGGCGCTTACACATATGTTAGTGTTTGGCCGAGCTTCTCCTCCGACTTGTGGCGTGCGCCTTGATGTTGTCACACAAAGCGGAGGGACCTACAGTTTTACGTCGACTCCGAACGGCGATTGTATTTTTATGAGAAGCTTTTTTTCATGGCAGGAATATACTCGGAGGTTTGAAATTGCCTGCCGAGGGACGGACGCTGTTAAGAAAAAACCTTTTTTTATATTTTTGCGATGTTGATTTGGCCAGCGCTTGAACCCAGGTGCTGATGTGTGAAAGCGCGCACTGCTTACCACTACACCACAGCGGCCGACTCCTTTATATATTCACCTAGGAACATGAAATTTTGCAATACTTACAGGCATTAACAACAGAATATTTTCGCCCATTATCACAGAAAGTTTACAGTAAAATTAACAAAGATCGGGTCACTATAACCTGTTTATTGCCCCCATACAACTGGTTGTTCAGATATGGGGTTTTACTGTAAAACTCCTTTATTTGGACAGCTAAAACCGATAAATTTCGTAAGCTATTTTATAAATAATAATACAAAGTCTACTGAGAAAATCGTAAAAATTTATGCTGTATGAGCTTTATCTCTTATACCACTGATTGTTCAGATACCAGTCGTTGCGATATATCTCCTTGATGTAGATTGTGTTACCGGTCCACGTACCGATCACACAGCAGTGAAAATCATTTAGATTGGCGCTATATAAGGTATATCTTCCATACCTCTGATTGTTTAGATATGATTTTTTATATATGCATCTCCTCTATCTATGCCTGCTGCGAATATATACATTTTTTCAAATGCAGTAATCTGTTAAAGTAAAATTTTCAGATGCTCATGAAAGGTATGAAGCCTTCGGCATAGCCGAAGACAGCGCTGCTCTTACTTGTTATATATATAGATTCCATCCTTCAGTCGAAAAGCGTTGTAAGTACGAAATATGTATTAAAATACAATAATGTATCTTGTAATTTTTTAAAAGATGAAATAATTTTTATATTAGCAGTTGGATGCTTGTAGCTCATATATGTACATAGCTTGAACTTAGAGGGTTCACTCTAAGGTTAAACGTGTATTTTTAATTTAACCTTATTTGACAAGTTGACCCCAATCGCCCCTCCTCAACCAAAATTCTGCATCCGCCAATGATGTGAACGAAGTGGAATAGAGATAGAAAAATCAGTACAAAGCAGCACACATTTCCGAAAAATAAGAACATTTGCGTACTGAATTGGGAATTGAAAATTTTCAGTACAGCGAGTGAAAATTCAATATTGTCCTTCCCAAATCAGTACGTCTGGCAACCGTAGATATAGAGGTTTAGTTCAATATGCAGAAACTTTTTTTTTGTAAACCTGTGTAATTCGTAAAGTTTTCCTTAGTATTTTGTATAGTTTGAAACTTTGATTTATATGGTTTTGTTTATAGCATAAACAATATATTTGTACAAAAATAACGAAAAAATTATAGCTTGCAAAACATTGTGAATATTAAAAAAACAAGGGTGTACGCAGATATAATGGAATGAGTGTATGTGTTTGCATATGTATGCATACATACCTTCCGCAAAGTTTCCAGCTGTTTATGATTAAAATCAAGGTCCTGCAAAATAGATTCAAATCGTTTATAATTCTCTACATTTCCAATGGGATCATCGCGATGGTATTTTAGTTTAGTAGGTTGGGATTCTGCAGGTATTCGAAGACAACGATAGCCACGATCACTGTTTAAATGGTATTCTCTTAGTAAATTTTTACTATTCATAAAGTCGTAAAAATAGTAGAAGATATGGAAATTGTGTTGATTCCTGAGGAGATGACGGTCATGAATATGTCAATAAAATATATTAATCTTGCATAAAAGTTTCTTACATATCGGTTGTGGAAACTCGAAGCTTTTCCAGCATATACATATTGAAAACGGCTCCACTGAGTTTTCCTGTCTGCCCGAACGTTAGGAAGTACTGCAACACGCATCTTGTAGACTCATTGTTGATAGGTGTGCCAGCATTAACGAGCATTTGAATTGCATCGATTGAGTTTTCCACTCGTGTGGTAGCTCCACGATTGCCAGATCCAAGATAACATAAATGATTTATGAGTAAACGGACATTGGTTGATTTTCCGGAAAAGCTTTCTCCTGAAAACACGATATGCTGCGGTTCCTTATGATGAAGCATATCCTGGTAAGCAATATCAGCCACAGCAAATATGTGTGGAGAATTTTGTGAACGTGACTTAAATTTATATTTAATGTGAAACTGAAAACAAATGATAAAACGTACAATACACTGCAGCCTACATTTATATTCATTATTTTACCTCTTCATCGAAATCTAGTTGTAAATCATTAGAGTTTAGCGACAATAAAATGTCTCCGATAAAACTATAAGACCCGCCAAGTTCCATGCGGTTTCTAAGTGAGTCCGAAATGAGTTCTTCCGTTGGATTCTCGATAGCTGCTAAGTCTTCTGGATACATACGTTCTGGCTTTCCATCGAAGCGTTTTATATAACCACGATCAACGAATATTTCTGGTTCCTTATATATAGCTGGAGCGTCTCTACAGAAAACCAGCAGCTCACGAATATCTGCTTGTATCTAGATACGGTAACCGAAACAATATTTCAAGCGTTTTTATAAACTACATACTATGGATATGTAAGCATATTTACTATGAATACATAGTATAGTATATAACATACTTCTTCATCGTTGTCGAATAGTTCGTTCAAAAACGGATGTTCAATCATTTCAACCATCATTGGGCGATTTTCAACAGTTTTTTCCAAACACTCCGATATGAAATCATTAATTTGCTGAGACCAATTTGTTGGTCGTAATAAAGTAGGCGGAGGATTACGTACTATTTGGAACATAACGCGGGTGGGATGCATATCGGCAAAAGGCGGTTGGCCATCTGCTAGTTCAATTGTTGTTATACCAAGTGCCCATACATCGGCCCGTGAAGTAATTTCAGGTTCCTCTGGATTTTTAAAACCGTGCACAGAAAATAAATATACATATTTGTTTAATAAAAGTAAAAGATAATTACGAACTCTGCTATCTGCATTCACCCAACTTCACTTGAATTAGTCAATTTTTTTCAAAATCCGGGCCAATAGAGGCATCGAAGAAGCTTCGTTTCAATTAAGTTTTAAAAAATGATCAATTCTGAAAAAAGTTGGTGAAGAAGAAAACACCATGCATAGTTTATTTCTTATGAGGTTGTTTGTTAAACAACACGAAAAATCGGCTTGTATTTTTGATTCAATTGAAAAGGCACAGTAAGGGCCATTTTCTGAAGTAACCTTTAAATTTAAAGCTCACTTTATATCTAAAGGTTGGATTAAAAATAAAGCTATGTCTAATGTTAAGCATTTCTATTATCGGTTTTTGACGTATGTCTGTTTCTTGGTTGTAAATCAATTTAAAACCGACAATAAAATTATTTACTTTAGACACAATCATAAATTTTAATGTAGCCTTTAAATATAACGTGAGCTTTAAAGCTAAAGGTTACTTCAGAAAACGGCCCTAAGTGACGTCCTCCTTTTAAGTTGAAAAAAGATATTGAAGCTATAGTTAACAACTAACCAAATTTAAATTTTTTTATTTAAGTAAATATATGTACACACCAAGGCCTAACAAACAGGTAGTAGCATTAGACCAAAACCAATATTTACGAGTATTTTGTTGTTTCTTCTGGTATGTAAAGTGTCAAAAATAGTCTACTTTTTCGTTAAATACTATAGTGGCCATGTGACATATAAACAAAAATTAAAAATTGGTGCAAATTTCTTTCTTTGTGAATTTGTTTCGTTCCCGAAGCATTAATGTATGCGTTTCAGGGCCCAATAATTAGCGTTTACGCCCCTCAGTTAAGAAAACGTTCCAAAGGCACGTACAAATTCATTTTTCTAATTAAGAATTTTTCTAAAAAAAGTTAACAATATTTGGCAGTTATGAGACCAACTAATACGAACAAAATCAAATTAGCTGCTCCACTGATGGTGCTGATGATTCTATCTGTGTGTCAGATGAAAATAGAAAAATTTCTATTTCGTATGTACGTGCATCTGCTTTGTACAGAAACAAATCTAATTTGCCTTTACACGATATGTTGGCATTTCCATATGTAAAAAGTGGCATGTACACATGCAAATACATATCGTGTAAGAACAACTTTAGCGTTCATAATTTTAAAATTTATTACTCAATTTAGATAACATAGGTCTTATTTTATTTATGCAATGGAGGACCTACAATTTTATTTCGCCTCCGAAGGACAAATTGATTTTATGAGGAGCTTTTTCGAGGCAGAAATATGCTCGAAGAAATATGCTATGTTTGCCATAGCTTTCCTATGGGCGACCGCTGTTCGAAAAAAGTTGTTCTAATTTAGATGTTGCTGGGACCAGGGATCGAACCCACGTCCTATGGAGTGGTAGTGCGTGCCCCTAACCAATCAGCCACAGCGGCCGCCTACATACATAGATGATATTAAAATCAATGAGCTTCACGTGTGTAAAATGAAATTTGGGATTGACCAACTGAATCAACAAAAAAAAATGCTATTAATTGCGCGCACTTTTTATATCCACTTTCCTATTTTTTTTATTTCTGCAAGCTTGAATTATTTAATAGTCCTCTATGGCGTTGCAGTAAGGTCGCAATGAGGTAATAATGGCTTTATTTCCCTTTTGAAGTTACAAATAAAACTATAGTTTCCAACTGGCAATGGAAAAAACGAAGTTATTGTTTTTATTGCGCTTTGAAAACTTTTGTTTAGGAAAAATAAAATTACTTTTTGCAATGCCCGGCGATCAAACCCGGACCCGCCACCCTTTAAATTATGATTAATTACGCATTTGTAGAACTTTGAGTGTGATTTTATTTCACTTCTGCATTGGAAATAACGTCGTATGCTTTTATTTCAAAAGCTAAAGCGTATGGTGTTGTTGTACCTCACCCTTTTTCCATAGATATTTGAATTAAGGAGATAGTATTGGACTAATAGTCCCCTATTCTGCAATACTTTCATATTCGGATTTTGCTGCGAATCGTAGAAATGGTATGTAGCAATCCGAATCGTATTTTCGAAATTCGTAAGAATGGCATGCCTAGAAACGAGCGAGTAAGATATTGGCAACTTTTTTGCGTATTTTGTACGAAAACATTTCTGTGCCGGAAGCGAGATAAAAATAAAGCAAAAAGATGTTAGTCGTTGTGTGTTTGGAGGAAATATTAGTGGAGCTCTTTTAAACAGATAAATTTGCTTTTCGCATATGGGCAAATCTAAAAAACAGGTAAACTTTGTGTTATTTAGCATTTTTTTTATTGTTGTAAACTATATCAAGATGGTTGCTCTTGGACACAATTCATAGGCGTATACTTGAAGCCTCAAAAAAATTTGGATGAATTTGCTGCATAACTTTTGAATTATGGGTGCTTAAATTAAAAAAAATAAGGAAAACAAGTGATTTTTTTTGTAATTTTTAAGAGGGGCACAATTAATTATGTCAAAACTTTTGAAACGCACCATATACTGGTTTGAAATTTTATGTGCAATTAGTACTTCTGTGTACACTTCATATGTTGTTGGTAACTAAAGTGTGCTTTAAAATCTAACTAAATGGGTTTATCGCGTAGCATTCCATTTTAAAAAGTTGTTAAGTATGTATTGTATTCTACAAACAATAACTAATAATATCATACCTTAGCAAGAGGTGTGCTTTCAGAATAAACCAACTTTTAAAGATAAAAAATTATGCGATCTTGAGCGATCCAAAACAAACGATCCAAAAACATCTTCATTGAATTGAATATTCCTGATAACGTTACATATACCTGTAAAATTCTTCAAAAATTTTTCTCTAGAAGTGTGTAAAAACCCTGATTTACTACTGAGTGAAAATATCTCAAGTGGGCCATCCAAAATTGGACGATCAAGATTTTTTCGCACAAATCACTTTATTCGGTTTACGACCATAAAAAAATATAATTTGAGCAATTTGGTAAATTCGCACTTTTACAAAAGTTATCAGGAAACAAAAACAGCAAGATACATGCCATAAATCAGTGGATAATAAATAATTACTGAATTCATCAAAAAAAAAGTTAATAACAATAACTTTTGTAAAACTACGAATTTTGCAAAATGATGCACTTGATGAAAATGAATTACACTTATATTTGTCGATTTATTAAGAGATTACGAATATAATCATATATAAAATGTAGGTGTAACACAAGTAAAAAAATTTTACTTTTTATATTGAAAGTGTACCTGTTTTTTAGATTTGCCGATATACGTATATTTTTATACCCGAGCGCACCTGTGCACAAGGGTATTTTAACTTTGTTCACATAACGGTTGTTTCTAACAGCCAAAACGAATCGAGATAGATATAGACAAATGTATACATAAATGCTCAGAATGAATAGAGAAGTCGATTAAGCCATGTCTGTCTGTGTGTCTGTCTGTCCGATAACGATTTTGCATTAACTGCATTGAGAACCAGTTCTTTAGGCATAAGAGGAGTTATGGCTTCTGGTTCAACAATTCAACCAGAGGCTGCCAAATGTTGTTCCTCGTCTAACTTTTGAAGCACTTGATGAAAATAAATTACACTTATATTTGTCGATTTATTAAGAGATTACGAATATAATCATATATAAAACATAGATGTGACACAAGTAAACAAATTTAACTTTTTATTTTGAAAGTGTACCTGTTTATTAGATTTGCCCATATACGTATATTTTTATCCACTGCTTTATACATATGAACGAACAAAAACGATGTTTGTTGCCCCATAGCGAGAAACTTGGGTACGGTTTAGTTATTTGTACTATGATTTTGGGTTGTTGTGCATGACCCGAGTCTAAAAACTTTAATATACATACACGTGTTTTCAAAGGAATGAACTTTAATTTAAAATAACGGTTTTAAATTTCCGAGCACTAGTTTATTATTAATTCGGTTTGAGCTATACACTTTTTTTGTAAATTTCGATGTGGGTTCTGCGCAAAAATACTTTGGATGGCGTAGCTGGAGTTACGGATACGCACAAGAAACATTGTATACCTTCCGGCCCTCTTCTCCGCACACACAGAAAGGTGAATTCTACTTAGTAAGCGTTATAAACCCTTAGCGTGGCCGAAGGCGGAAGCAAGCGCAACGGGTGGTGAACCTAACAAAATGCATATTTTCAATGGCTTGGAAGGAGCTGTTTTTGCATTATCTGGATTGAGAACCAGTTCTTTAGGTATAACAGGAGTTATGGCTTGTGGTTCAACAATTCAACCAGAAGCTGCCATACATACATAGATGCGCCCATGGCAACTGCCCGACAGCTCCGCATAGCTTTGTGAATTAATTTCAAAATGCGCTCATATTCCGCTGCTATAGTTGCAAATGCAATCCATCATTTTCTGAAAAAAAAGTTAAATAAAAAAATTGTACTATAAATAAGCACTTTATGCAAGAATGATAGAATACAAGATTGCGCCGATCAGAGAGGATTTTTGAGAATAACTTTTGTGTGACGTCACACTGGTGCAATTGCGAGAGAGAAATGCCAAAACGTGAGCAAGAATGGAAGAAGAAGAAAAAATGTTGCAAGGAAAACGTAAACAAGTTGCACCAGTGTGACGTCATGCAAACAATGATTCTGTGAAATTCGTTAAGAGAGGAATAGCGGTCCGAGATCGGCGCAACCTTTGTATTCTCTCAATCGTGCACTTTATGAGTATTTTCTAATTCATTCCACTTTGTATTCCTGCATACAGCTGACTTCGAAAAACAACTGATAGCTGGCAATGTTGAACATGTTTCCGCAACGGTTGTAGCATGTCGATGTTTCAGTTTTCTTAACGGAGCTACCATTTACGAATTACGAAAATTCGGGTTCTAGAATAAGGGGAAGTGTCAAATAGCGAAATTAAAATAAATGGTACGCTCTTGTTGGTTCTATCTA